TCCAAGACATTTCATATTCTTTTTCTTTGAGGATAAATAAATAAGATGTAATTGCAGATTGTTAGCATCTTCTTGTTGTTGAATCAAACTGAACTCAGTAATTTAAAAAACTGAGACTATGAAGCAGTTTTTCTTACTGTTCACAGGGCAACTCTCCCTCTGCTGGCCTTCTTAAGGAAGCAGGTACACCTCTTCTGATTGTTGCCTTTAAACTTCCTGAACTTGAGTATGGGACGTCCCCTTCCTGGCCCTTATGGTTAGGAGACAGGAGTGCACAATGGTTAAGAACACACTCTGTAAAGGCAAGCAGACCTTTCAAATGCTTGCTGTGCCACTGTGAGAATTAGGGCCAGCCATGTCATCTCTCAAACCTGGTTTTCCTTACCTGTAAAATGGAGACCACAAAGGCAAATGCTTCAAAGAATTGTAAGGTTCAAGTGAAATACTTCTGTGGAGAGCCCTTCCTGCCTTGCAGGGAGAAAGATCTCAGATTAATAACCAAACTCTGCACTGTATTGACCTAGAAAGAAAGAGCATAATAAACCCAAAACTAGAAAAAAAAGAAGGAAATAATAAATATTAAAGCAAAGTGAAGACTTCATTAAAATTTAGTTGTCATTATTGTAGTTATTATTATTAGAATTGGGCTTGGGGATGGTTAAATCCACAAGGCCTCTTCTCAAGAGCCCCCAATGGGGCCTGGTGATAGTAAGAGGGCACCCTAGACACTGACCAGGAGTACCGCAGGGGCAGAACCTTGGCAAAATCTCACTGTGGCCACTTTTCTTTGGCTTTAAGAGTTTGAAGTCCATCTATCCTGAGCAGGAGCAGAGCCTATAACAGAAGCAAGCATATCAGCTCCATACCAGCAAGGATTTTGTTTTGCTTATTGCTGTAGGTCCAGTGCCTAGAATGGGGTGTGGCACATTGTAGATGCTTAGCCAGTATTTGTTAAAGATAAAATCAGGGATTTGATCCACATCAAAAGACCCATGGCAGGGACCAGTGCTTCAAATTGAAGTGCACCATGAGCTTCAAAGTGCAATTAACTAAATTAGTCTGCTGAACCCTGAGGAAAACCCAAAAGCTCAATTTAATCCCCTTAGGAAACCAAGTAAAGCAGTTCTAACCAGGACTAGTTTTATAGATTTTCTAAGAATCCAAGAAAATCAATCTTGAGAAGATTAAGATAAGCAACCAACATAGAAGATCCAATCCAGACAACTCCTGGAATGATAGAAGCAAGGATTTTAGTTTGGATGCCAAGCCCAGATCATAACCCAAAGACTCACATCCACAAGAGCTGGACATCCAAAGACAGGGCCAAAATCAAAATAAAGACCAGTCTTAAACGAGGTTTATAGGGAGCATCTGTGGGGATATAACACCAGAATTCTGGTTTTGATCAAATAAGCACTTTGAAGTTTCTTTCTTTCTTTGGGGATTGGCAAAAATATGCAGCAATGCAGAGTGTGAACCAAGGCTATTGATCTTTGGTTTGAGTATGTACTAGAAGTGAAAACAGGGAGGTTGAAGGTTCTTTTCTTGGCTTGTCTTTTCTCTTGAGGTCTTAGTCCTTCAACCGTTAAGCAACAAAAGAACACTAGTAATGTGGAAGAAAACACACAAGTTTTAACTTTTTCTTTCTATTCTCGTTCTTTGGCAGATCCCACCACTGCGCCCATGCCAACCCAGCAGCAGCTTGCCTCTTCTACGATCTGACACGATGTCTAAGGACTCTGAAGGAATCTTTGTTGATGATGAGTCACCTAAGGTCCCACAAAAGAAAGCTTTCCCACGGAAGATTTTGACGAAGAAGGTGAGCATTAGCCCCATTCTAAGTTGCAGGTTGCAGGCGGGGTCAGGCACAAGTCAGAGGCATAATTTCTTCTTGCATTTTCTTTTCTCAATACTAGGGAAATGTTTGGGGGAAGGAGCTGCATTCTTGGCTTTTGATTTGCAAGGTGGTTTACATTTTCTGTCCGATTCCACAAGCCAAATAATCAATCTTTAGTTTATAAGCAATAGAAGGCAGTANATTCCCAAATCCCAAAAGGAGTCTTTTGTGCCTTTTAGCCTTTCATTTGTTTTTAACTTTCCTTTGGTTTGTCTTAACACATAACTGCTATCAACTTGGCTCCATTTCCATTCTGAAGGTATTTCCATGAGGGTTTAGCAAGCTGAGAGTGTGGGTGGGGGAGTGGTAGGTGCATTAGATGACTCTGAAAATACGATAGATGTATCACATAGCCCTGTGTGAAAAAGGAAAAGACATGGTGAATGAAAGTTTCCAGCGTCTGGGCAGATATTTGATATTTCAAACAAATCAAAACAAGAGAAAAATTTGGGTGTAAAAGATCTTTTATAACTCTCCTCTTAATAATATCAAGACTCAGGGTATTCCCCTCCCATTCCACAGTGTTGCCACCATTGAATTGTACACTTTAAATGGGTGAATTGTATGGTATATAAACCATATCTCAATAAAACTACTATATGAAAAAGATGTGTGTTGATCATTTAAAAAATCAAAATTATGCAGAAGTACATAATGTAGAAAATGAAAATCCCCCTTCAGTCCCTAGTCCCATTTTTCAGGGCAAAGCATCAATAACAATTTGGTGGCTATCCTTCTAGACTTTTTTCTATAAACATAAACAATATATGCATGTAATATATACGTATATATTAAATGGGATCATACTCTTCTTTATTTTTTCACTTCATATCTCATAGACAACTTTCTGTGTTGGTACATATGCATCCCTACCCAGCTTCTAAGGTGTCTTTGGTAGGCCATATTATAGATATACATGTGTCTTTGGTTCCTGTGGCCCTTGAGTTGCGTTCACAAGGCCTTTTCCTTCCTTTCCAGGATCAAGAGAAGGATGGGGAACAAATCCTTGTCCCATGACAGCATCTTCATGTTGGAGCCTGAGCCTGAAAGATCAGCAAGTAAAACATGCCACTCTGCAGAGCTCCAGAAAGGCAGACCTCTGCAGGTAACATTGAATTTGAACATCAGTGTCTAATTGGACTACTCCTCTTCTGTTTCCTATTCCTACCCCTCCAAAAAACAAGGAAGGAGGAATTTGGCCCTACTTCTCAGCTGATTCTATCCCCACAGGGCTGTTGTAAACATTGAATGAGAGAATGTATAAATATATGATGCGCTTACCTAGTGCCTAGAACACAGTGTTGGCTGATATTACCATATTCACTTCTCTTGACACACCAAAGAATGCCTTAAGTATTATGACAGTGACATTCCACTGTTAATATGCAAGCATGCCAACCCCCATATTTTTTTCTTTCTTCCACAGAAATCTCATGTTTTCAGAGCTCTGCCTACAGCTGGTAGTGTGCATGAAGCTTTTTCTGGAGATATGTCTGGAGTTGTGCCCCAATACATGTCCAGAAGTAGAATCTGGGCTGCAGCTTCCAAGATCACTGAGGTAATAGAGTGGAATTGTTCAAAATATGGTAGCTGAATCAGACAGACCTATGCTTTAATTCTCACTCTGCTACTTACTGGCTCTGTAACGTTGGGCTGATAACCTCTCTGAGCCTTCCTTTCCTCATCTATAATGGGTATAATATTGATATCTATCTCAAAGGGTTGCTTGTAAAGATTGAGTAAAAAGACTCACAGAGGTTAAAGGAATTACTCACTTACCCATACAGTAAGTGGTAGACCTGGAAATCTGATCCAGTTGTGTTGACCTCAAAAACCATGGTCTTTTCATTACTAGTCTCTAAGATGTTCACCTTCTTTGTACCTGCCTCAACAGGAAGAAGTGTACACCTTTAGTCTCTGTAAAATGCATATGTACATAGGACCGTCTCTTACCTCCAGCTAATCCTAACCATTGCTCAGTCAGACTCTTTTGGAGCTCTGATCTAGAAATGCTCTGGGGGGAGCTGGAGATACTGCTGGGGAGATAACCCTTAGCAGCTACCTTTCTTCTTCTCTCTGGTTGAGGGTGGGATTATAACCAAAGATCCCTATGTATTTTGGGAAGGCCACACAAGGAAGAGACCTTTCTCCACTAGAGAGCTGATTATTTATCATTTAACAAAAGGTAACTTGGTTTTATTTCTGACATAGCCACTTAAGACCCTATGTCATTCACTCTGGTTTGTATACTGTGCAGGGAAGTTCTACCTGGTACATTAACCATTAAGGGTGGGGCCAGGTGAGTGGCTCAGTTGGTTAAGAGTTGGCTTGGGAGCCTGAGCTCTGAGCAGCAGGGTCACTGGTTCGGTTCCCACATGGGTAAGTGTTGCTGCACCCTCTACAGCTAAGATTGTGAACAACAGCTCAACTTGTAGCTGGGCTGCTGCGAGTGGCCTACAATGGCATAGGATGCAGCCCCTGCTGCAGTGGGCTGCCGTGAGCTATCATGAGTGGCCGGCAGCCAGTGTGAGCGGTCGGCAGCTGGCAAGAGCTGCCGTGAGCTGCCATGAGCTGCCGTGAGCCACTGTGAGACCGACCATTGGCCTCAGCCAGGAAGAGCACAATGATCATAATACCAACATGGGCCAGTAAAGTGACAGCCTCCACAACTAGACTGAAGAACAAAAGGACAGCAACTTGTCTGTTCCCTTTCCCCGATTCCCCAGCGCTGTTACTCTCCCTGAATTCCCCAATAAAATCTTAAAAAACAAACAAACAAAAAAACCCCATGAAGGGTGGAGAAGCAAACCCTGGGATGGTTAGCAATGGTGCTGATCTTATGGCTATAAAGCAGCCCCTATGTCAGCAGACTGTTACTCTCTTGCTCTACAGCAGGAAAAGTCACTTCGAGAAACTTTCCAGTCTTTGGTTTTAAACAGCTACATGAGCTTTCACTTGTTTCCACAGCTACACTCCCTTGCCACCCAGTGGCAAAAATCCAGAT